TAATACAAATATATTAATTTATTTAGCGGTTATTAACGTAAATATATTACTTTGTCGGATATTAATGTAAATATATATTTTTCTTAGGGGCTATCGACATGAATATTTTATTTACGCTATACACAAACACTATTACGCAAGTCGAGGCATTTCTTGACAGTTTCCACTCTATATAGGAACGTTTTTTCTTGTTCTGTTCTCTTTTATATAAATGTGAACGTTCAGAGGCGCAACATAACGCAGTGATCCCAGAGTCCTTGAAGCCCTTACGCCTCCCACGGTGGGTGACGGGGCACTCCCGGGCTCTCCTCCCATGTACTGCCTCAGTTTACTTATTTATGTGTGCCTTTCAGTCTTCGTGGGTCTGTCTGTCTGGCTTTCTGAATGGCTGACTGACTGTCATAGTGACAACCTGCAACATAAGTAAATATATGGATGTTCAGAAAATTTAAACCTTGACATTTCTAAACATGTTAGGTTTTTAGGCCTAGAAGATCATAGGTCAAGCTCGTGTAGCTAATTAGTTTAATCAGAACGAGAGTGAGTGAGTGAGTGAGTGAGTGAGTGAGTGAGTCATCGTTGGTGCAGCGACTAAAGTCTCACAGAGAGTAAATGATGAATATTTTCTTTTAATAATGCATTTAAACAATGAGTTCTCCCGGAGCACATGAGAGAAGTGTGTAGATCATCAACACTACAGGCAAAAATGCTCTCCGCTGTTGTGCTAAAGATGCTAAAGACAGTCTTCTGTGCCCCTCGTCCTCTCGTCTGCTCATTTACTCTAATTGCGTGATGGTCATGTGTACCTCAGACTGAGAGCATGACTAACAGCTACTGGGAATCGAAGGGGAGTGATGCGCCCCCACCCGCCCCATCCCCCCACCACTCCCCCTCACCCCCCCCCCCCCCGGCATTATTAACAATGTGAGTCACATTATGCAGGTCCGCGGCCTCTGCCTCTCCACTATGACATTTACATCCAAATTATCCTCTTAAATATCATGCAGCTCCACCGGCCAAATACCTAAACTGACATTTGAGGCAGCGCTCAATGTTAGATGCTTGTCAACGGTTAAGGGGGGACTCCAGACACCCACTCCCACCACCTCCTTCCCCCCAGACACTCCCTCAAACCGTCCTCTACCTAGACCCCCCCCCCCACCTCCATCCAGGGGGTTTATTTTTTTTTTTTAAATTTTGCCCCGAGGGGCGAGTTTATTGGGCAGCGCCACTCATCCTGTGAGTGGACACACCGCCATAGCAGCATGTACAACACTCCCCAATAGGAAGAAACCCCGCTGGGTCACCTGTACCCAGACACAGCTGGGACTTGCTTAACTGTCTCAAGTGAACAGCCCTTCAAACAGGAAGATTAACATTTGTCAACCCTTAAAGTCTTAAGTCATCGTGCTGGTGGAAAATGGGGGGAATCTTTTAATAGCAGTATCTATATTTGACAAATATAGATACTGGATAATGGGTCCACTACTGCCCACAGGATGGGTACGGGGTTCACTACAGCCCACTGCATGGGTATATGGGGCTCACTACCACCTGTTAATTCACAGTGTCGGGGGACAGGAAGAAAGAGTGAATTCATACACGTTCGGCTTTTTTCGAGGTCGAATTACTGACCCCGGCCAGGATGCAACCCCACAACAAGCTGACTAACTCCCGAGTACCTAGCAGTGAGTACTGAGTGCTCACTGAAAGGTAAATTTCCTTAGGTGAAAGGAAATGTGCCCAATCATTTAAGGTTAATTACGGATTCGAACCCGGAATTCTTGATTGTGCGTCGAGAACGAACCCGACTGTACTACCAGGACCCTGTTGGATGGGTATGGGGTCCACTACCGCCAAGAGGATGGGTATGGGGTCCACTACCGCCAAGAGGATGGGTATGGGGTCCAGTACCATCCACAGGATGAGTAAGAGGTCCACTACCACCTGTAGGATAGGTATGGGGTCTACAACCGCCCATTGGATGGTTATGGGGTCCAATATCATCCACAGGATTGGGATGGGGTCCACTACCGCACAGATGTGGGCGGTAGTGAACACCATACTCATCCTGTGGGCGGTACTGGACCCCATACCCATCCTGTGGGCAGTACTGGACCCCATACCCATCCTGTGGCATACCCATCCTACGGGTGGTAGTGGATCCCATACTCATCCTACGAGTGGTAGTGGACCCCATGCCCATCTTACGGGTGGTAGTGAACCCCATACTCATCCTACGAGTGGTAGTGGACCCATACCCATCCTACGGGTGGTAGTGGACCCCATACCCATCCTACGGGTGGTAGTGGACCCCATATACATCGAGTGACTATAGTTGTGGACCCTATATCCATCCTGAGGATACACTGGCAGTGTTAAAGGCAGTAATGTTCAGTGTACAGGTTCCCAAGTAGGAAGACTTGAGAGGCAAGACCGACGAGAAGCATCAACATCAGAGGCTGGTGTCACGTGACAGACTTGACGTGGTGAGAGGCAATGTCGTGTAATGTTATCCTGTTGTTGTAGATGTTCTATAGTACCCCGGAGACGGTCTTGCTTGCCTTCCTTACTGTCTGGCTGTGGTCGTCGGTTACGACAGGACAGTTATAAGCTTATAAACCTCAAGGTAAACAGCTCTAACAGACAGAACTGAAGAGGTTGGCGCTGTAGAGGGCGGGTAGGAAGGAACTGGGAACTGCCTGACGTCCTATAAGACTCATCTTGAGACTTCTACTCCAGACGCTCGAGGAGTACCTTGGGGAGACGGAGACAGGAAGAGCGAGGAAGGTGGCGGGAAGTCTTGTGTTGAAGACGAGAGGAGCGCCGAGGACCCGTCAGGAAGTGATCATTAAGGACGCCACTTGTGCAGAATAATATTCTGAACAATGTCATCCTGGACGTTAATAGTTATCATAAAGCATAAATGTTCACACTTCAATAAGTTAAAATTACTCCTTTTGTCATTAACGAGCAATATCTTAAGTCAGTTGAAACCAATAATTTAACATCATCCAGTGTTGTGTCAGGAACGTTGGGCTATTGAGTTTCTTAGTCTGTTATCGCATATATTGTAGTTGTTGAGCGGCCATTAACAGTTCTTGACTGGCGGACCATTACTAATTCACTGCCGGTTCTGTTGCAAATGTTGCTTTGTTCTACCTATTGTTCTTTTGGAACATTTACAATAGAATGTTTTAATTAGTTTGTGAATTAAATTTTGAAATTAACAACTCCAAACGTTCAAGCTGGGGATTTTTATTGGTTCATTAGAGACTCGTTCGTATTTGGGGAAGTGAAGGAGTGGCTGTTGGCCATTGATAATTGACACTTCAGACTCGCAAAATATTAACCAATAGGGTGAGTCTTAGGGTGAATGTCACCCAATCAGCGGCCGGGTTTGGTTGGCTGCTGGTTATAAAAGGGAGGATAAGACAAGGAGCACTTCAGTCTTGTTTTACCTCACTTTTGGTATACAGTTCCAGGTTCGTGTCTTGAAGCTTAGTTGTATGTGGAGGCTCTCCCTCCCTTTCCCTTCTCCTGCCCCCTTGTTGCGTCCCCCCCTTCTCCTGCCCCTTGTTGCGTCCCCCCTTCTCCTGCCCCTTGTTGCGTCCCCACCCCCTTCTCCTGCCCCTTGTTGCGTCCCCTCCCTTCTCCTGCCCCCTTGTTGCGTCCTCCCCCCTTCTCCTGCCCCTTGTTGCGTCCCCCCCCTTCTCCTGCCCCTTGTTGCGTCCCCCCCCCTTTCTCCTGACCCTTGTTGCGTCCCCCCCCTTTCTCCTGACCCTTGTTGCGTCCCCCCCCCTTTCTCCTGACCCTTGTTGCGTCCCCCCCTTTCTCCTGACCCTTGTTGCGTCCCCCCCCTTTCTCCTGACCCTTGTTGCGTCCCCCCCTTTCTCCTGACCCTTGTTGCGTCCCCCCCCTTTCTCCCCTGACCCTTGTTGCGTCCCCCCCCTTTCTCCTGGACCCGTCCCCCCCCCTTTCTCCTGGACCCTTGTTGCGTCCCCCCTTTCTCCTGCCCCCTTGTTGCGTCCCTCCCCTGCCCCTTGTTGCGTCCTCCCTTTCCCCTGGTTCCCTGTACTGGAACTAGTGAAGTGTATGGGGGGGGGCACTATCATTATTTCATACTTGCCTTGACGAATTGAAGGTTGGGGTTAAAGTGCGCATAATGCTGCGTGTGGCACTATAGCTGACCCAAACTGGCTTGTGACTCTCCTCGACCCCACTTGTATCATGAGAGAGGCTAGCCCTTGACGTCTGGTCTTCAACCTTAAAAAAAACGTTAAATAAACATTATACATTTGTGACTTTACAATGGGGTTACTAGTCTTTAAGAGGTAAAAACTACAAATTCAAAGCCTAAATTTAAAATGTTTTAATAACATGACTACTGTAGTCAGCAGGCTGGATATATAGTTAAAGTAATGGGAAATTTAGTTAAATGTTCTAAACCATGAACCAGGATGTTAATCTTTAGGATGTCCATCCATGGTTTTTAACACCCATCAACGATAATTATTAAACTTCTTGACATATTAATCGCAATATTGGCTTAAAGTAGAGTAGCATGTCGGTAGATTGATATCATTCATGATATCAGTGTAGGTATGTAAATTTTTCTCTAATCTAACAACTTAACGTTAATAATTCATGACCATTGCACCTGAACGATAGATAACTACTCGTTCATAGTAGTGTAATTACCAGCGCCCCCCGGGGTCTAAGCAAGGCAGTCACACGCTTGACAAACTCGCCTGAAGTAAAATTCTGATGTTAGTCTCCGGACACTCCCCCCCCCCCCCACACACACACACACACACACACACACACACACAGGATTGCTCTAGCAGTTCAAAATGTTTGTTTGGTAACGTACAGTAGTCATGTAAGTTGACTGTGTTTATTCGTTACTTAGGAGAACAACGTTAAATTTTTTTCTGTTAAATATAGACGGTTGATAAGCTTTTTACTTAGTGTAGTAAACTAAATGACTTTCTTCTCCTTGAGAGTAGGTGTAGTTTACATGAAGGGTTTACCCTCCCGATGACTGCACCAGGATAGATGCTGGGAGCCGCGACACATTGAAGAGGATAATAATGTTAAGGTTTGGCATTAATGCTTCTTGTATAATTTTTTTTGCTCGGGTATTTTCTAGTTTCCGTCTTTTGATTTTGAGTCGTCTTACAAACTTCTAGGCTATCTACAACCTGAGCCTAGAGGCTTGACAAATGGTTTTTAGAGTATCTTGGATAGTAGTAATTTAAGATAACTACTAATTTAACTTTTAAACGAATATCCTGCTTGACCTTTTCGTGTAATTATTACAAAAGATAGTAAAAACTCTTAAATATAATTTTTACCTTGGCTCGTATCCCTTCCCTAAAGTTCTCCTTCAGGAAAGTCTTTACAGTTCCCCAAAGATACTAACAGGTTTCAAACTACTTGCTTTTCAGTTCCATATAACGTCTAACAGTTCACTCTTCAAGCGGCACCCTTGTTCTTCCAACCCCTTCCTGCATTAAGATACCTCGGCTTCCTTTGGTCCCACAACCCCAGCTTAAGTCTCTCGGCCTTCAAGGTCACAACCAACTCGACACTCCGTCCTCTGGAATACCTGGTAACATAGTAAGTAAAATGATAGTTTTATTTGGCTTAACTTTAAATCCCATAGATCAAACCAGTAATATACTTAGTACCAAAGATGCAGGTTAGAGTTCTCAACATGGCTCTTATTGTCTCCTTTAGTTAATTTATTGATTTAATTCTCAAATGGTTTCAGATACCTAAAGAGGGGTGGTAGAACTGCCACTTCATATGGTGCGTGAATAATATATACAACTGGGATCAAGCAAACTCTTACTGCTAGTCTTGGCAGAGGCTTCCAGCTTGTTAGTATCAAAGACAAGGGTAAAGAAGACTTCCTAAAGAGCGTTATTGCCAGAGGTGAGTTTACTTATTAGTGTTTAACATGGTTAGAAATGCACGTGGACAACTTTAAATATAGTCATCCTGATGGACTAAGATTATGGCCAAGAATTTAAAAAAAAAACTACGTAATATTTTCATCAGGTTGGATCCAGTTCATATGGAGAAGCGGCAACGAGCGAGGCAGGACGACCTGGAGGTGGTCATCCGGGCACACTTCCTCCTACACCAACTGGTCTCTCACTGGAGGGTCTGTATTTCTCTTTACTTTATTAATTTGTCATACAGCTCAAATTGTCATAAAAGATGTACCAAACACCCCGTATATCAAGTGCAGGTTACTCTTACAGGCTTCAACGGCTGTAAAGGTCTGTAAAAGTTAATCTTAACCTATCGCAAAATTTAAATTTTATTAAAAAAAAAAAATATAATGGTTCTAATATGACGGTTCCCGTCCCCAGGCTCGGGCGACCACAGCCAGACAACGGGGAAGGCAAAGAGGACTGTCTCGGGTACCGAAGAACATCTATAGCCGCACCATGGCCCGTCACAAAGTGAAGTCTGTCGTCTCAGACGCCGCCTTTGTTATATTTTTGCCAGAAAATAACCTAGGTTCCTGAATGAAGTTGTAAAATATTAAATTTTGAAGTAGATCATAATCTTCTTGAATACCTTAGCCAGGAGATCTCTCAATGTTTCGTGTCTACAAGACTTGTCACTAAGGACCTGAAGTGTAGTTATTTTTTTTTTTTTTTTTTAGGAAAAATTAAATCCTTGACTCTTCAGTTAAGGAAAATATTAATGGCTTGTGACTTAAATGCCATGACATTGACAATAGATTCACAATGTGTGAACCATTATATGTATACCTTGTAAACCTCCCCTTCCCCCAACAGGCCAGTGTAGGTGGACTAAGTGTAAAACCTGGTTGTGGCACGATTTTTGGTCCTCGCGAGGTATCTACGACGAATGACGTTGACCAGACCACACTAGAAAGTGAAGGGACGACGTCGTTTCGGTCCGTCCTGGACCATTGTCAAGTAGATTGTGAGACTGGTAGAGACTGTGAATCCGGTGGATGGTAATGCGTCTCATCCAGTGGGCGGTTGTGAACCTCGTACACATCCTGTGAGGAGTAGTGGACCCCCATAAACATTCCAATGTTATATTGTTTTCTGTTGACGTTCCTACAATCCATTCTGTTTGTTTTTCAACGCTTACACTATTGTATATAATGTTTGGCGAACGAACCCTTATTATATGTAATAATTTGAGTGCTTATTATAATTTACCGAGAAGCACAAAGATTACTCCCTAAGTGCTAACCTTTAACAGGATGCACTGTATAATGGTGGTTTAAATCATGGGTTGAACCATTAGTTAATACAGAATAAATATAATTCTATATAATACAGAATAATTAATTCGGTCTTGGAGGGGGGGGGGGAGACCTCGATATAAGCCTAATGTATAATTATTTATTTAATTTTTTTTTTTTTTTTTTTTTTATAAAAGTTCTTACATTCTTGTACAGCCACTAGCACGAATAGCGTTTCGGGCAAGTCCTTAATCCTAATGTTTGACAGTTGCAGGCGATAAGTCCCAATAACGTGGCTAAAGTATGTTGACGAGACCACACACTAGAAGGTGAAGGGACGACGACGTTTCGGTCCGTCCTGGACCATTCTCAAGTAGATTTTCTTGAGAATGATCCAGGACGGACAGAAACGTCGTCGTCCCTTCACCTTCTAGTGTGGTCTGGTCAACGTTTGACAGTTGATTTGACAATCTACCTCAGGGAAACTGAACATTGGCAGCATAGGTACTATGAGCATTATGTGACACTATGGTATCCTGATGACAGGTTGCAGCCGCGAGGTCCTGTGTGTGTACTCGCCTAGTTGGGCTTGCGGGGATTGAGCTCTGGCTCTTTGGTTCCGCCTCTCAACTGTCAATCTACTGGTGCACAGATTCCTCAGCTTCTAGAGCTCTATCCACCATTACGTCCGAAACTCCTCTGCCGCAGTTCTGGAAGCGTATCTGCAAGATGGCGGGTAAGTTCGTTCCCGATGTTTCACCGGTCCTTCACCTCCGTGGTACTCTTGTGGCGGACCCGTTGCAGGTCGCTACCGAACTGGGTTCCCACTTATCTTTTGTTAGCTCTGGTTTTAATCTTCCCTTCGTAAACCTGTCCTTGAATCTCGTCCTTTAGATTTCTGCACTCGTCTTCGACTTCCCTATAACGATCCTTTCTCTCTCTGAACTTCGGTCTGCCTCGGCCCTCGGCGGTTCTACGGCGGCGGGCACCGATGGCATTCATTTAACAGTCTCCGTGGTGTAGTGGTAAAGACACTTGCCTGGCGTTCCGCGAGCGCTATGTCATGGGTTCGTATCCTGGCCGGGGAGGATTTACTGGGCGCAATTCCTTAACTGTAGCCTCTGTTTAACGCAACAGTAAAATGTGTACTTGGATGAAAAAACGATTCTTCGCGGCGGGGATCGTATTCCAGGGACCTGCCCGAAACGCTACGCGTACTAGTGGCTGTACAAGAATGTAACAACTCTTGTATATAAAAAAAAAAAAAAAAAAAAAAAAATGCTTCGCCATCTCCCTCCGTGCACGTCTCGATATTTACTTAGTCTGTATAATCGGGTCTGGGAGTCGTCGTCAGTCCCTGAGGACTGGCTTGATGCCGTTGTCCTCCCTGTTCGCAAACCAGAGTCTCTGGGAACCTCCCCTAAGGACTTTCGCCCTATTGACCTGAAGTTGTCTGCAAACTCTTTGAATGTATGGTTAACGTTCGTCTGATGTGGTTCTTAGAACACCATCACCACCTCTTCCCCCTTCTTAATTTGGTTTCTGCAAGTGCTACTGTCTTCGCTATCTTGCGCGGTCCTTGCAACATCCTTCCTCTCGCCTCTGTCGTGCTTTAACTTTTGCCCATCCTGCAGTTCCTGTTCCTCTTCACCACCTTCCTATTTGTCCGGTTATCTCGCTTACAGGATTCTTTCAGTTCGTATTTCTAATATTTCTCCGTGTTGTTCCTTCTTTGACCCCGTGGAGAGTCCCTCTTCCGCAGTTTTGTACATCCTTGACCCGCATCACTAAAGCTTTTACCCCTTCTACGGTTCAAAAATGCCTTTTCCTTGAGCACTTTTCTTCTCACTCCCGCTCAGTTTCTGTCTTCACCGATGGGTCTAAGGCTGCTGACGGTGTGGACTACTGTTGATTTTCCTGATTGCACTTATGTGTGTCGCTTGCCTCCGGAGACTAGCATCTTCACAGCAGAACTTTATGCTATTCTCTCTGCTTTTCGTCTCCTGCTTTCTCGTTGTCAGTCTTCCGTTGTTGTTGTTGTTGACTTAGTGCCCTCATGGCTCTCGGGTCCTTTAATCCGGTTCATCCAGTAGTTGTCGAGATCCAGCATTGGCCGTTTCTTGTTCACAGTAAATTTAAGTCGGTTGAGTTTTGTTGGGTTCCCAGCCATATTGGTGTCTCTTAAATGAGCGTGCAGATGCTGCCACCAGGGAAGCTGTCCGCTCTAGTCCCATCTCTCGTAAAGGTATTCATTATTCCGACTTTTACCCGGTTATCCATTCCTCCATCCTTACCCGTTGGCAGACTTGTTGGTCTTCTGTTACTGGTAACAAACTGCGTACTCTTAGGAGTTGTGCGTCTTCGTGGCCGTCGTCCAATCACCGTAACCGGCGATGGGAAACGGCTCTGGCGAGGTTGCATATTGGCCATACTCGATTAACTCGTGGTCACTTGATGGAGCGCCACCCTGCTCTTTAATGTCCAAATTTCATTGTCCCTCTTACGGTCGTGCATATCCTTGTTGAATGTCCTGACTTCCAGGACGAGCGTGTTTTGCTTTCCGACCGTCCCTCGCGGTCACCTGTCCCTCAATAGAATTCTTGGTGACTCGGATACTTTTGATATCGTTCGCCTTATGCGTTTTTGTTCTCGTATTGGCATCCTTGGTGATATTTAGCGCCCTCTGATTATTCCGCACATTTGATGGTGCTACATAGCCTTCCCGGTTTGGTGCCTTCTTTTGATAATTACTTACTTTCCTTTCACGCCTGTCTGCATTTCTTGCTTGTGCACTAGTCGCTTATGTGGGACTGTCTCAAAGGTACTGTGTGTGTGAGTGAGCGAGCAACTGCTCATGTGCGTATAGAAAAGATAGTGTTCAGAGAGAGAGAGAGACATACAGTCCGAGAGAGAAATTGTAGTGTATATGTGGAGTGAGAGTTAGTGAGAGGGAAGGAGAGGGAAATGAAAGGATGTGAGAGGGAGTGAGGGGAGGCAGAGAGAGAGCGATGAATTTGCCTCGGGACATTAGCTGTTGTGGCGGTAAGGACGGCCCTGCCGGGTCATGGCCCCCTTCCTCTGGGTAGGCACAAGTCGACTGTTTCACGCCAGCAGGAGGGGGAGCAGTGGAAGGGAAGATATGGGGGAGATGGGATGGGACTGGGAAAGGGGAGAGGCAGTGGATGGGGAAGACTGAAGAGTGGGGGAAAAAATAGATGGAGGGAAGGTTTAATATAAAAAAATGGAAAGGGATAGTTAGAGAAATAACACTGTCCCCCACGGGACACTGTCCCCCACGGGACACTGTCCCCCACGGGACATTGAGAGTCGCGTCCTCGTAGACGACAGAAACAGTAAAAGACACACACAACAATTTCTTATTTTTTGTTGTTCTTATCGGCGAAAGATATGAAAAAAATTGCCTGAGTGGAAGACACAAAATAATTAAAATCAGATATCAACAAACTCTTCCAATTGGGAGTGGACAACAACAACACGACGTTCAACGTCGACAAATTCCAATTACTTTGGCGTTGTGTGTGTGTTACTTTTACTCAACAGCGGACACTTGATACAGGCCTTATAGAAAGTAACACCTTAGGGGGAGATCCCATAATAATAATGAGAGGAGAACTAACGTTTAATAGAGCACATGCTTTGTCGTCCACACACACACACACACACACACACACACACACACACACACCTTTTTTTGACCATGTCGTAGCTCAGTCGATTAAGGCAGCGTCTGGGATCCTCTCGGATGTAGGTTCGAACCCCTCGTTACGGCCCTTGTGGATTTGTTCACTTAGGAAGCCTCGTGGTCAGACGGGGAGGTCGGACCCAGTGTTTACGTGGTCTCGAGTTCGAACTTTTATAGTGCTGGGAAGACGGGACACCACGAGCGTAGCTCTCATCCTGTAACTACACTTAGGTAATTACACACACACACACACACACACACACACACACACAATCAGTTGATTGACGGTTGAGAGGCAGGACCAAAGTACCAGAGCTCAACCCCCCGCAAACACAACTAAGTGAGTACAACTAGGTGAGTACACACAGAGGAAGCGGCTCCGTAACAGCTGTCTAACTCCCAGGTACCTATTTACTGCTAGGTAACGGGGGCATTCAAGGTGAAAGAAACTCTGCCTATTTGTTCCTGCCTGGTCCGGGAATTGAACCCTGGTCACAGAATTAAGAGTCCTGCGCGCTGTCCACTCAGCTACCAGACCCCCATGCGCGCGCGCGCTTGTGTGTGTGTGTGTGTGTGTGTGTGTGTGTGTGTGTGTGTGTGTGTGTGTGTGTGTGTGTGTTACAGCTGCAGGGATGGAAGAGGGGGGGGGGGAATAGGTGTGGTGTTTCCCGCGTGACGTCACAAGCGGGAACGTGTAAACAAATGAATAATGAATGAGAAGGCTGTGGCTGTGGAGGTATAATGTGTACCCTCTCGCCAACCACCGCAGTCCTTCACCCAACACTGGGCTACACTCTTAATAAACGGAACATATACATTTACAGCGGCTTGTTTGCTCATTAGAACAAACTGCTCCGTGTCTGTTTTTACCCGGGAAAAAGAATTTCAAGCGTGTGAATCTTCCCATTTTTTTTTTTTAGTTATTCTCTCTAAAACGTTATCGTCAGAACGCTTTCCAACGCACGTCTCTCGTTTTCTTTATCGGCACTTTTTTTTTTAATCACAATCAGATACATGGAAGTAATCAGTGTTTTGTTAAGCGTTACAGTCAGTTGCTGCTGGATACAATGTTTTACTGATGGGCGACGGTGAACTATTAATCGAGCAGGGACTAATGAGGCTCTCAGGGAGCAGCTTAATTCCTTCTTGACAAGCTTGTACAGGTGTCTGTTGCTACTTAACAAGTCTGTGCAGGTATTTGGGACTACTTGACAAACGTACGCAGGTGTTTGTGTCTATCAGACAAGGCTGTACGAGTCCCCCCCTGGAGA